AAGACATGGAAACAACAGGTTTTTTTTTAAATTGTTGACATTGTTGTCGCCAATGTACTGTGCCAGTTCTTTCTTCTTATTTTATTTCATTTTTCTTTTCCATTGGTTTATCCCTGGCAATCATTGTCTTTGATTCTGGTACCCTGCATCTTGTATTTACATTTATCTGATTTGGAAAGGGGAAGGGAAATAACAAAATGCTGAAACAAGGACAAAGAATGACACAATGAAACAACGATACAAGACACTATGTCAGAAATGAACTTTACAACTTCCAGGGATTGGGGAGGAGTGGGGGAAGGAAGGGATAGTGGGAGAAAAACAAAGGAGGGGGTAACAATGTTGGACAAGAAAAGTACTCATTACCTTATTTGTGTAACTGTAACCCATCTGCACAGCATCTTTACAATAAAATAAAAAAATACCATGCAAAAACAAGAGGGGGGGCTTATGGAATGTCTTTAGACCTTGAAGGGGATTGTGGGACTCTGACCTCATTTTTCCTCCTGAGATAAGCTATTTGCTCTCCTCCATGCTATCCAGCACACTCATCAGAGGCCTGAAGCAATGAATCTACCAGTCTTAAACTGGAGCTTCCAAACCTGTGAGGCAAATAAGCTTGTTATAGATTGATTATCTCAGAGATTTTATTATATTAACACAAAGTTGACTAACTCAGTGACTAAAAAGCATATCAAGTTATGTGTCAGATACAAGGGAGATTACAATTAATAAAACCTAACTTCTGCTCTTTTTTTATTGTGAAAATAATGTACAGAGGGGTTACATTTACATGGGCAAGATAATGAGTACATTTCTTATCAAGCATTGTAACCTCCTCCTTTGTTTCCCCTTCCCGTCCCTTCCCATCCTCCCCCCCTCACCCCCCACCCAATCCTCCCTGCTCCCCCCCTTTACCCCACTCCCCCACACCAAAGTTGTAAAGTTCGTTTTCGACATAACGACTTGCACATCTCATTGTTGCAATGGGTCCACCTGTATCCCTATTTAAACGATTTGTTTTTGCCGTTCCCCTCCACAAATTATACCGACATTAAATACAGTGAAAGCAAGGGTTATATTGTGGGGGAGGGACATACAAAGCAACAAAGAAATAATCTTATAAATGTGTTAGAAACAATGGCAAGAAAGAAAAAAAAACATTTGAATACATATCTTAGGGTTCATTTCCCTAACATCACCTTATCAAGAACTCTAATAACAACAGATGCTGGAGGGGATGTGAACAGAAGGGAACCTTACTGCATTGTTGGTGGGAGTGTAAACTTGTTCAACCATTTTGGAAAGTAGTATGGAGGTTCCTCAAAAGACTCCACATAGAGCTCCACTATGACCCAGCAATTCCACTTTTGGGCATTTACCCAAATGTTCACAAACAAGACCACACTAAAGCTACCAGCACGACTATGTTTATTGCAGCACTATTTACTATAGCTAAGATATGGAACCAACCCAGATGCCCCTCAGTAGATGAATGGATCAAGAAAATGTGGTACATATACACAATGGAATTCTATGCCTCCATCAGAAAGAATGACATTGCCCCATTTGTTAGGAAATGGAAAGACTTGGAAAAAATTATATTAAGTGAAGTAAGCCAGGCCCAAAGAAACATAGGTCCCATGGTTTCCCTTATTTGCAATATCTAACTTCTGCTCTTGTGATGTTCACCCGTGGATGAAAACAAATTAAGTCCGAATATTTATTCATCTGGAAAAAGAAGCTGAAATACCTTGTAGACACAACAATGTACATTAGCCATCAATGATTTTCCCTTTGAGTGGGAGATCCATTGTTGATGCCTCTTATTCTAGAAGACTGACTGGAAATGAGCAAATAAAGATGTTGAATAAAGACAACACTAAGAAGTTTAGCTATAGAAAGAAAAATTGATGTGGTTAGAAAAAGGAATGTTGAGATTGAGCTCTCTTTCACACATACTCTCTCTCTCTCTCTCTCTCTCTCTCTTTAGTATTAGGATATCAGTTTAGAGCATAGCACTTACTAGGCAGGTATTGACTTTAGGTATTTTTTTATTAACAAGTTTTTTATTGTGAAAATACCATACAGAGGGTTTAGAATTATATGAGCAAGGTAATGAGTACATTTCTTATCAAGCATTTTTGCCTCCTCCTTTGTTTTCCCCTACCATCCCTTCCCATCTCCCCCATCACCACCCCACCCCACCCACCAAAGTTGTAAAATTCATTTTTCGACATAATGTCTTGTACATCTCATTGTTGCAATGGGTCCACCTGTATCCCTAGTTAATAGATTTGTTTTTTCCCTTCCCCTCCACAAATTATACCAACTTACATGATTTTATCCATGCATTTACTAGTGGCTTTGCTCTGCATTCTTTCTCCAATTTCACATTCACATGTGGACTCATCTCTTATTGATGATGGTATGATAGCAGTAAACATAACTTATTTTCACTTTCCATTATTTCACTTCCTATATATTATTTATTTATTTTTATTGGCAATACTAGGGTTTGAACTCAGAGTTTCACACTTGCTCAGTTAATTTACTTAGCTAGCACTCTCCCATAGGAGCCACACCTTCAGCCAGTTCTGCTGATGGAGTCTAGTGATCTTTCATTCCTAGACTGGCCTTGAACTGAAATCCTTTTAACCTCAGCTCCCTCAGTAGCTAGGATTATAGATGTAAGCCGTCAATATTCAGCTTTATTTTATTTTTAAAAGAAATGTCTCTGTGTACAGAATTCTAACTTGGCAATCATTTTCTTGTAAATGTTTGGAAATATCATTTATTGACATCTTTCATTGCTGGTGTTGAAAAGTCAACAACCGGCCAATTGTTGCTTCTTTGGAAATAGTCTGGCAATTTCCTCTGCCTACTGTGAAGTTTTTCTTTTCTTTTTTTTTTAACCCTTTGTGTTGTGTAGTTTTAGTATAAAGTTTCCAGAAATGAGTTCATATTGATTCTGCTCAAACTTGAACTTGGGCAATTGTGTGTTACAGGTGTATGTTCCATTGGTAAATCCTTGAGGAATTAAAGTCAGCATACAAAAGAGATATGTGCACACCTGTATTGTTCACACCTAGAAAGCTATCTACTCAAGAAAATGAAATCTGAGGTTTAAAATTTAGAGCCAGACTGTGCACAATATCTGGGACACTTATCTCCAACTAACCAGCAACATGTTGGAACAGCAGGCATGGCTGAGTGACAGCTATGCGGTTGAGTGACAGATATGAGTGAAAAAGCTGAGCAAAAATGTGAGTCCCTGAGTTGAAGTACTGGTACCAGCACTAAAAGGATTCAATGAATAAATACGATTTTGCAATTGATAGAAAAATGTATGGAATGGGAGAACAATTTGTTAAGTAAATTCAGCAAGTCTCAAAATTACAAATTATCTCATGTTTTCTCTCATGTGAATTCTAAAAGTATCAGTAATAATGTTAATGATTAATAATGAAAGAAGAAAGACTATGGCTATTAAGTAATAAAGGAACCAGCAGGAAGCGGGATTATAGGTGTAGATAGTGAAGGGAATAAATAGGGGCAAAATATTTTATGTGCATGTAGAACATCTTAATGAACATTATTATGCTGTATAATTAATGAACAGTAATAAAAATCAGAAGAATTTGATTGGCTTTTGAATCTTTGCTTTGGTCTCTTTCGTCACTCTGCCAGACTTTCTCCAGAGCTTTTAACTCATCCTTTTGTGTATTTCTCTTCTTGATTTCTCCATTACTCATTTTGTATATTTCTCCCTTATCTACAGCATTTCATTTCATTAATTGATTTTATTTCATTTTTGAGGCAATATATTATTATGTAACCTAGGTTGTCCTCTAACACACGTTTCCTTTGTTTCTATCTCTGATTGCTGGGATTTCAAATAACTCGCAGCTTACCTTCCTATTAGTTCTGTGGATGAATTGTTCATTAATCCAGATATTAAGTTTAATTTGGATGGATTTCATTTTATGTACAAATGTTTTATGTGGCTCTTTTTCAATCTGTTAGGCCTAGTTTTATAGATTCCTGGATTCTTTAAATGAAGTCAGAATAAATGTTTACAATCTGTGTCCTATAATTTCAGTGTGTGACTTTTTTTTTCGGGGGGGGGAGGGTTCGGTTGTGGGACCTGAACTCTGGGCCAGAGCGCTGTCCCTCAGCTCTTCAGCTCAAAGCTAGTGCTCTACCACTTGAGCCACAGCACCACTTTCGGCTTTTTTCTTTTTGCTTATGTGGTGCTGAGGAATCAAACCCAGGGCCTCAGGCATGCAAGGCAAGTGCTCTACCACTGGGCCACCTTCCCAGCCCCAGTGTGTGACTTTTTAAACCTATTTCTTCTATTATTGCTAAAATTTTCTCCTTATGGTTTTATGTTGCCTAGCTGGGTGCTTAATTTAATTTTTTAATATACATTTTTAACTTTCCTTGGAATTTTATTCGAGAATGATGAAAATAATGTAATTTTCTTCCTTAGAGGCTTCAAATTTACTTCTCAAGTACTATCAATCTAGACTGTCTTGAATCATACTCATTCCTGAGTTTTCCATAAGCGTCCAACATCTGGGAATTTAAATTGCAAATCTGCAAAAAAGTATCACCTGTAGTCACAGAGTAGTTTTTTCCTCCTATTTCCCCTTCTCTGTTCTGTTTCAAAGCAATCTTTCCAGCAGTTTCTTTCTGACTCACCTTTTTCCTTGACAGCTTAACCATTTGTAATTAAGACTTAAAATGGGGCCAGTCTCTTAGTAAATTTTCCATTCTGGACCATAAGTTATGATCCCATACCCAACAAGGCAACAAATTCACACTGTAATTTTTCCCACATTTGAGAATGCCTTTGGGGAAAAATGGTTTTAATGATTTCCTTACTTCTTTGAGTTTCCTACCTTTTCTTACAGTTTGGTCTGTGAATTCCTTAATATATTTCAAACCTTCCAAGTTTTATGAGTTATATTCAATATTACATATAGCACGATACTCACATTTTTAGTCACTTTTTAGCAGGAGAAATTTATCAAGATAAATGAGCCAAAATTATATTTCTCCAAAACATTGCCCCAGGTATGGAAGAAGAGAAAATATTATTTCACCAAGGGCTAGAATTTTTCTAAGGAAGATGATCACAATGAGGATGTTTTATCAGTTTAGATTATTAGTAAAGCTTTGAAGTCCTGGATCCTAAAACATGAGCTGAGTAAGGAGAGATTAAGATATGAAACACTGGAAAAGAGAATAAATATAATAGAGGTTTCAATGAGGTCAAAGAATTTATATATCAGGATAACTTGTTAGGGACAGGTTTGGGGTATGTGTCTATAATCCCAGTTATGAAGAAGGCCATAAGAAAGAAAGTCACAGACCTAGGCTGGCACTGAAGAAAAAAGTACAAGATCTTTTCTAAAAAAAAATAAAGCCAAAACAAAAACAAAAAACCCACTTACCAACAACTGCAAAGCCCTTTTAGCGTCCAACTCCAGTACCGCAAAATGAAGCTTAGTGAGTGAGCTAAATGGAAAGGAAGTTATGATCAAAAAGAGTAATGTCTAGTTATGTGATTTCCAAGATGGAAATGAGACTAAAGTGGGCAGCTATAGTACATTGGTTTCATTTCCTTGAGAAGATGCTGAGGTTAGCCAAGTTGACTCAGAACTAAAAATGCAACAAACGACATGAGGCAAGACAGGAATCTCTTTGTGAGCAAATGGAAATGATTATTACAAAGACAGAGTTCAGGAACAAGGGAAACATAAAGAGGCATGCCAAGTGACATTTGCCTCAAGAAGCAAGGATAACTTGAATGAAGAGGGGAGGATAATTATCTGGTTTGGCTCGATGAAGAGTAAGATAACGGAGATTTTATATCTAAAGAATGTGAAAGTAAGAGAATTATAATGAATCTGAATTGCAAGAAATAGACTTCTCAATATGAAATGGCTTTCATTTATATCTCTGTGGATTTCAGGAAGCATGTTATGATTCACCTTTTCTTCTGCAAGGTTCAAATCAAAATCAAGAAAGGATTTTAGGAAATGTCAGGATTTGAACATCAAAGCATTAGATTTACTAATGTTCCAAGCAAGTGTTGTGGTAAATCTGTCATAGAGAATATGAGATATGTTTTATGTCATGAACAACAAGTAAATGTTCTCAAAGAATTTCCATAGGAAAGACCCAGAGAACATGAGGTCACCATTAGAAACAAAATAAAATTATAAGAAAGAAATAACTTGGAGATTTGATGACAATAGCATAACAGAATCAGACTTAATAGCTTCATATTCTATAATTAATACCATATAATAGACATAGCAGAATATTCTATCCAGGAAGATCACAATGCACATTCTTCTCAAGGCTATGTCATCAGCATAGTTCTGGATAGATTGAATGTTAGACCACAAGACAAATCTTAGCAAGTTTAAGAAGACTAAAAGAATCTTTTCCAATTATAATGATATGAACCGCTCATCAATTAATAGAGAAAACAGAATTCATAAAAATATGGAAATTAATAACCAAATGGTTAAAAACAAGAAAGTAAAAAAATAAATTTTTCTTGGGACAAACAGAACCTGGAAATATGATATATCAAGTCTTATAGAATGAAAGACAGGTCTAAGAGCTAAGTTTATAGCAATAAATGCCTTCATGAAGAAAGGAGAATGAGCTCAAACAACCTAATTTCACAACTCAAAGAGCTAGAAAATGCAATACAACTAAGTCCAAAGTGGTCAAAGGGAGGATATAAAAGTATTAGAGTAAAAGTAAATTAAAAAATGAAAACCAAGATCAAGATGCATTGTATTTATAAACTGCTTTGTTAAATGGAAGCCCCTTTGTATAACTACTTAAAGGTAATTTTTAAAATGGAAATGAAATAAGAGAATCTGAAGTGTATAGTCAGACATGTAAAGGGTATGAGATCATGACAAGGACATACTCCTGTTACCATAGCAGGAAGTGGACTTGGTTTTCCTTTGAAGAAAGGAGATTAAAATGAGTCCAGACTAACTGTGCACAGGTCTTGGCTAAGATTATTTACATAACTTTATGCTTGTCCTGTTTGACCCAAAGTCAAGTTCGTTGGACATTTCTCTGGTTAACTAGCCAGAGAGAGTATTGAAGGATCCCAATTCTGTTTCTGATGGCGGTGCCATCAGTAAGTAGGCTCCAGATTGAGCCTTAACCCTCCAAACACTTCCAGAGCCAAGCAAGGAGGCATCAGGCTCTCCAGATTCAGATTTAAATAGGACAACACTCAGTTGCTTTGTCTATGATTATTGAAGTAAAGCTTGATTGAAGGCCAGAAACAAGCCAAGTATTGTACTAACCATTAATAAGAATGTTCTTACCTACTTCTGAAAATGTCTCACTAAATAATATTGTAATAGGTGTTTTAAATTACTTAGTATTCATATAAATTGGTTCTCCATTTGCATTAATTTTGTTAGAAAGAAGTCATTTTGCTAGTGAGCCCTAGTACACCATTAAATTTGTTCATGACTCAGAGTTTGTTAATCTGCTTTTATTTTCCCAGACTTCATCTTACCCCATCCCAAGATCAAAGAAAATAAAGTCCAAAGGTGAAAGGAGGGGCCTATCATTTTCACAGTAATTATCAGGATTACATTCAAGAAGTGAACAGACCAATGTAGCTCACATTTGTAATACTAGCTACTCAGGAGGCTGAGATCTGATGATCATGGTTCAAAGCCAGCAGGGACAGCAAAGTCTGTGAGGCTCTTATCTCCAACTAACCACCAAGAAGCCAGAAGCAGAGCTGTAGCTTAAGTGGTTGAGCTCTAGCCTTCAGCATAAAAGCTCAGAGACAGCACCAAGGCCCTTAATTCAACCTCCAAGACTGACACAAAATAAAAAATAAAAATCTAACAGACCAGAAATAGAAAAAAGATTGTGGCCACAAATATCTGTGATTCCCCAAAACAATGTTTTTACTTCTAAGGCTCCAACTTCAAACACTATGTGAGATGAACAAGTGAGAGAAGGGGTGGGGAAGTGTTTCTGAAGACATCTTGTCATGTCATTCAAAATCAGGGCAATTACACAATAGTAAGGACCTCTAGCAGGACTGCATTGGGCTCTAGAGGCAAAACAACAAGCAATATTGCAAATATCAACACACCCTAGCCAGAGGCTCAAGCAAGCTTCCCGGAAGTTTGAGTTAGCATTAATTATTGTTTCTAATTGCTGTCAGTTAACTCCCCCAGTACCCTGCAGGTCAAGACATCATCCTGTGAAACATGATGTCTTTCCTCAAAATGCCAATTTCTGTCATGTAACAGAATCTTGGCTTTGGTGTTCTTTTACAGAAACACTGATCTAATTACCCTAAGTCCTTTATTCTGTGTTCTGGGTTATGGGCAGAATTCCAGAATCAAACACCTAACCTTATTCCCAATAGAAGGCCTTACTTTTCAACACTTTTTCAGAAGTAGATATTTCTCCGTCATTTTAAAGTTCACCATTTGTTAAGATACAATACACTTAACAGCTTGTCTCCTAACCACTAGACTACCTGGGTATCGGAAACTCTGTACTCTCTAAAATAATTTCAGTAAAGATCCTTTTCTGCTACAGTATGCAATGCTATCCACTAGAAATATAATCAGAACAAGTTTCTCTTAACTTAGTCCCTGCAAGCTGCAGGATCCTTCCTAACACTATAAACCTATGATTTCCATTCAATTTAATCCATTCACCTAAAGAATGGCTCCCCTTTTTGTTATTTAAGTGCTCCTTAGGGGGGAAACTCACATACTTTCTTCCCTCCCAGTGTATTTCAATATTTTGCAACATTTTTGATGTTTTCTTACTGACATCTAGTAAAGCTATCACTTAGCTTTTGAATAAGGTTAAATATCATGACAATTATGTCGTTTATTCTCCTAATATAACAGTTGTAGAATCTGACCTCTACCATTTAAATGATTGACATGTCTGACCAGAATGCACTGTTATTGTTATTCTACTAGATTTTTTACCACACCACTCAACAAAGAATTGGATCTTTATTTGCTCTATGAGTCCATGAGTTTCATAATTTTCCCTTTTCCTATAAACACTGTATATTGCATGCTTTTCCTGAATCTTTACAGAAATATGTACATACATACATACACACAGAGAACAGGACTAACAGTAGCTGCCAACTACATATTCATTATGTTGTTGACTTCCAATTGACCTTGAAGTGTCAGTGTTACTTAATGTGATGATATCAGAATGATAGCACAGCAGATGCTGCCAAATGAAAAATTTGCTGCAATGAGCTTGCTGTGAAATATTGAGGCTGAGCAGAGAAGCAGTTTCTCTGACAAAAATACTTTCAGTCCCTCCCTGTACTAAATCACACTGTGGAAGCTGCTGGCACTCTGGGTTTTCCATTGCTAGCAACGATACCCTGATTGTGCCTAGCCAGAAAGCATCCAGGTTCAAGACTAGGAGATCATCTTCAATACCCTCTGCTTTAATCAGAACAAAGATTTTGTTTGGTGAGGTTTTTTTACATCCCATGGTACTCAAGGATCTCATTGGTATTAAGGTACCCTGTGTTGTAAAGGAAATGGCACATGTCCTCACCAATACTTTAGATGCATGTTGCATTCTCTCATCTCTTTTGCAGTACTACTCAGCCCCCATGCTCTCCTGAAGTGGAAAACCTCACATCACAAACTGTACAAGAAGACTTTATTATTTAATTGCCTATTTGGACATTCTAGTTAGTGAGGCCCAAGCAAGGTCATGTTAGCTTAAGTTGAGGCAAAGTAAAGAATGACACCACTGCAAGTGGGAGGGCAAGAATGAGCTGTGCAAATACAGTGTGGTAGCAAAACCCATCAGAGCAATTTCCAGCTCTCCTTCTGTTACCTGCTGGGACACTGTGAAGCTCTGATGACATTTACTGAACAGCCAGAAGGGACCTGAGAAAAAAATTCATGGCTCTACTGAGGAACTCCAAGGGCAAGCAATTTTCCACAGGGAGAGACTGGAGAGACAGGGGATAGTGTATTCTGCATCTCTCCATGGATTCAGAAAGCCAGCATCATCTCCATCAGTGGCTTGTAGCAGTGTCTAGGGTAGAATGAGACATATGTCCCAGCCACAGTTCAAGAACACTCCCTGACGACACCATGGTAACCTTCATTCCACTGACTGGAATGGACCCACTGGTCTATTCCTGGCACGATGCTCAAGGCTGGCTCAGATTCATTTCTCTTTATTCAGTTCAAGTTGTAACACATAATAAAATGCACAGTGACAGGATTTCCTGTGGCTTTCAGGTGCATCCAACTTGGCAGGCCGTAGGTTGCTACATTTCTAGGTCCAATGGTTAAATGAAGGCACCTATTGCTTCCAGACTCTAGTCAGAGAGCAAACAGATGTCATCTGACATTAGTCATTGAAGAGCTAGTTAAGGATCATTTCATTCATCTATACAACAAGAAAATAATTTTAAACTACTAAGGAAGGGCCAGGCATTATTCACTGCCATGCCTGGTACAAATGCAGACAAGACATCCCCCTGGA